ACTTCTGGTGATGTCAGGGGGTGTGGCCTTATGACACACTTCTGGTGATGTCAGGGGGTGTGGTAAATGCTAATGAGTTATGCTAATGAGTTCCCCTAGCTCTTTTTCTATGAAACGACCCCTGCACAACACTGAGGTGGTGCTGTACCACATTGCACCATGATGCTAGTCTGATCATGCTTGGGAGTATGCTCTTTTGTATCCTGTAGGGGGTAAAAAAAGTGTTCAGAATGATTCTGGATACTTATGTTCTACCCTTTAAGTATTAGTATGGCAATATTATGACATCTCATTTGCATATACTGAATAGGCAAACTTCTAAGGGTGGCAACAGTGACAGACAAAAATTAGCCAACCTTGTCTTGGCTCACCATAAACAATATATAGATGTAACCAGGAGCCTTGTGGCACCTTAAATATTATTCAATTCTGCTGCAACAAATATTGCTAAAGTCTCTGAAACTATTAATATAGTGTGGAGTGGGGATGCAGTCTGTTTCAGCTCAGCTCCATCAATGGAGAAGTGTGGCTCACTGTTTTCCATGGACAACATTTTTGTTGATTATCATAATGGAAACTATCATTTTGCCTACTCGGAGCATAGCATTTTGGCCAAGTTATCCAGGGACAACATTTTTGTTGATAAAAATTGTGCTTTCTCATAATTTGGAATGAGATTGTGATAAAAACCAGTTATAGCTAATGTGGCATCTTCTGTAGTCTTTCCTGTAGTTTTAGAGAATGGCAGATTATGAAATTGGCATGGAATTGTAAATTAGTGTCTTGTAGCATTCTTATGACAAACTGCTATGAATCACGTTTCCAGGGTTCCCAAAATGTAGGAGGCAGAGCCTTTAAAGGGACCTCTCCTAAATCTGTTACAAGATCTGCCTATGGCAGTTCCTCAGAAACTGTGCCCCCAGTCAGAGCAAATTGATGTGGAAGTTTAAAGCTAAGAATGTCATTTGTTTTGTTCTGGTGGATTTCCCTGTATCCTGTGTGCATAGACTTACACTTGGGGTATGAGCGTTCATCGAGACCTATGCCTAGGAAATGATCTGAAGTATGTTGGACCAACACCCTAACGTGCTTAAGCATCGGTGAACCGAGTCCTCAGAGAGGCACTGTTATGACTTTAACTTCACTATACAGTTGCAGAAACTTTGCCTCGTTTTATATCCTTGCGCCATGAGGCTTTCCGGCCGCGGTTTCTCTCTTTTCAGCACTTGAGTAAGGGCTGGAGCCATCGATTTCTATTCTCTTCACGCCCCTCCCCCCCGGTCATAACTGGACATCCACGGTTCTGTAATTGAACCAGCCGCCTTTTAAACATTTCCACCGTTCTTATCGGCAAGGGGGCGAAGAATGCTGCTTTCTGGAGGGACAAAGACAAAGCTCAAGCGAGAAGGCTGTATCGTGCATGAACCTGAGCCAAGAATGGGGAGGGGTGCGGGAGAAGCCTCTTCAGAGCGGCTGGCCAAGTGAACAGTGCGTCTTTTTTTTAGGGTCCTATGGTGCGGGAAGGAGGGGGGGGATGCTAAAAAAGAATCGCAGTGAGTGGCCATTGGAATGCACTGAATACATTGGACTCCGTCCTGTTAAAAGTGGAAGAGCTTTTATGCTCAAACGTAAAGGCGCCCCAGATATTGGCGGGGGGGGCGGCGGCGGTAGGAATCACGGCTGCCTGAATTTCCTATGGACAGCGCCGACTGGCGCTTTACTTCCAAGTCACCGTGCAGAGGGCAGGCCGGGAAGAGCCAGAGGAAGGGTGCGAAGCCGCATTGACCTGCCTGAGAGGGAAGCCCCTCTTCCAGTGCGCAGGTGGCGGGGAACTCCGGCCCAGTCCGGGCAGGAGAGAGGCTCTAGAAGCGCTCCTACTGGTGGGGTTGGGAGAGAGAAGGGAAGGGGAAGAGGCGGAGCCTGGGAGGCGGCAGCGGCAGCAGCGGCGGCGGTGTCAATAATACAATAGGGCTCTTGTGCCGCCGCCTGGCCTGCCAGGAGGGAGATTACAAGGGCAAGGGCCTGCTCGCCCTGCAAGCGCGCAGAAAAGAAGGGGGGGGGGGTGTCGCCGACATGATGAAGGGGATGGCCGGGTCGTAGGGAAGCCGAGGCCGGAGGGAGAAGGCGCCGAGGAGGAAATGAGCGGCACCAAGTAGCAGCACCAGCAGCTCCGGGCCCCGGCGCACGCACACGCCGCTGCCGCCCACTCCAGAGCCACAAGGTGAGCGGTGGAAGCGCCTGAGGCGAGGGAAGGAGCCCCCGGAGCAAGAGGCGGGTGGAGGGGCAAGCGGTTGGGGGGTGGGTGAGGCGGGGGTGTGGGGAATACGGTCCGCCCGGCCTAGCCTGGCTGCAGGGGAAGAGCGACGAGCGCGGCCGTGGCTGGGCCCCCTCCCGCGCGCAGGCGGCGTTTGGCGCCAAGGCCTGGGGCCGGAGTCACGCCGGCGGGGCTGGAAGGGGCAGGGCAGCCATGAGGTGAGCTGGGAGGAGCAGCGGCGCTGGCGCCGCTTCAGGTGTGTGTGAGTGTGTACGTTTGCGACGGTAGGACACGTGGTGGTGGTGGTGTGTGTAGTCCCCCAGCCCCTCGCCTCAGGAATGTAGTGAGAGAGTTAGGGATAGGGTCTGTCTGTACGTGACTGAACAGAAAGAGTTCGCGTGTTCAGGTGCAGCAGCAGAGACTTCTGTGTGAGAGGGCGCTCCGTGAACCTTTGGTCAGTACAAACCCCCCCCCTCGAATTCCACAACATTCTTTGTTCTGATAAAAGCACACTCTTTTTATCACCTTCCCCCATCTTGACTAGCTCAACCACGTTGCACAGGGATGGTCTGTTTTTATTTCGGCCTGGGTAGGCAGGAGACAACTCAGAACCATTGGCCCACACTGGCAGACTGTGCTTTAGGGGTCTTATGTTGTATAGGTTCGCAGCACTGAGTGTGCACAATGTATTTTGCTTTGTTGCTTCCTAATGATGAGCTCTATGCTGGTTTTGACTGTTTTGACTTCTTAGTCTTTAAAAATCGAGTTGGTAAATGAAGAAAAATCTGCAGTTCCTCTTGGTTTTGAACTTGTATATATGGAAAGTTAACCAATTTGTCTTTATTTTCTAGTGCAGCTGTTATATTCTTTATACTTGTGATA